CGATCCAGAAATTACTCCTGAAGTAAGACAAAAGGTACTTGCACATCCCTCTTTATTTCAAGCTCACAAAATTAACAGAAAGGTACCAACCAATAGAGCACAACCAATCAATACTGAACTCAGAAAAAATTCCTATAATGCAAGAATGGTGGGATTTGTCCCACAAATGCATGATTGAAGCTGGGCTACATCGTGACAAACTCTCTCAAACTGTTGAGAGTTCTTTAATAGTGTTGAGGTTAGCTGGCTTTTGCTTCATTTTATCATTTATGCTTAATCTAACTCAACTTCTTTTAGGGACCGTGTTCCAGAATTTTTATCCATTCTTAATCATCGCGAGGTTCCAGTATTAATATTCTCCGCCGGCTTAGGAAACGTTATAGAGTTGATTTTAGAACGCTTTAAGATATGCCACCCAAACATCAGAATAGTGTCAAACTTTATGGATTTTAACCAAGAGGTAAAAATACTGCTTTCTTCAAATTGATCTCCGAGACATCCACTGCAACTAATTGCAATGTTTTTTTTATTTCTGTACTTTTGTTGCAGGGCGTCCTATCTGGCTTTCAAGAACCGCTCATACATTCCTACAATAAGAATGCCGCTAGCATATCGAATACAGACTTTTTTACTACGATGCTAATGCGGAGACAGTCTGTTCTCTTGCTCGGTGATTCAATTGGCGATATTCATATGGCTGACGGTCTTTTTCACAACCATATCGATCTCAATTGTTCTACTAGTAATTACAACTCTTTAGAAAACGGAATGTCCTTCCTTCGTGCGGGTTGGTGGTCTGAAGACTCCAAACGGACACCATCCTGTACTTCGCATACTGTACTCAGGATAGGATTTCTCAATCATTCGGTATGCTTTTATAGGTGGATTTCGCATTAGCATAGATGCATCAGTATCTGTTTGCAATTAGACTATAAGGTTCATTGTAATTTTTCACCCTAATCGAATACCGATACATATACCAGTAATTTGGGTTTTTAAAGATAATATTGATTTGCTCTATGAACTTCATGGCAAACCGACTTCCAAAGGATTCTGTAAGTTGCATTATTAGGACAGGCAAATTAAATAATTTCTCATAAATGAACTGACGCTTACATCATGCTGACAGACCATAACAAGTCATCTTTACAGTTCTTTTCGTTCTACGTTTGAATGGCAACTCTGCTTACTATGGGCATAATGACCCATTGTCCGGTTAAAATTCCCTCCCACAAGATTCACTGAAAGTGACCAAAGCCACAAATTGTGTGCCTATATTCACTACCTTGGCAAATATCGCCACTGTAAAGAAGAAACACTAAGTTTCGATTAATCTATTTTCATAACATTGAATTTTCTTGACTTGCAAGAATTTGTTAAATCCGTCCACCCTATAATGTGCGAGAACTTAGCCCGTTTTATTCCAAAACATGAAAGCATGCTTCGGGAACTGCGTCAACCTAAACGTCATAATAAAGCCAAACAGTTGTAGAAAAATGCGACTCAGCAGTCGTCTTCCGGTGAGATCGTCTTGCGAATCTCTTCACCATCCACTTTAATGTGAAATGATAGTCACCATAATATACTACCCAGCCAAATAATCCGAATCAAAGTTTTTCCAAAACATTCACCTTCTTTTACCGTAAGGATATTTGTAGCCTTGCTTGCCATTTTAAGGCGAATGATTCTGCTGAGAGTTCCATACCTAATTAATTGGGTGCCAAATTTTGTATTTTTTTCTTATGGTCTTTGAGTTCTGGTGTCTGCATTACATAATCAGAGCAGGCGCAAATTAGACTTTTGATTGACTCATTCTTGTATTTCAGACAAGATGAACACGAGAAGCTCTCCTACGTTAAGCAACCGAATCGCTTTTTTCTGGCGCATTCTCTCTGTCTGTTTAACATTTTTTTCTGCTCGCTGGCTGTATGTCTATGAACTGAATCTCTGGTACAAACTATCTTAACATCTCCAACTTAGGATGTCTGAATTCATCGTTCTACGCTGAGGCTCCACATTTATTTTTCGGTTTTCTCTGATAGCATTCTTTTGCTTATTTAAAAACTTCGGATCATCTTATTCACCTTATCTGGCTTAGGACGGATAACTTAGCCTCTCAAATAAAAATAGGTACAAAGCCTCGCATCCCTGAAGGCTTTTTCATCCGGGGTGGATTGAGACTTCAACTTATCCAGGTCCCGTTTCTTAACCAAACCAATCCCTTAAATCTAAAAGGGGAGGCGCCTGGCTTGCCTTGAAATTTACGTCTGTCATGCTAGCTTACTGAGACCTAGGCTGTGCAATGTGGTACATTTACTAATTGAAATGTACGATCCGGCTCTGAATCCTAATGCTGAAGTCGATGAGATCTTTGCGAAGAATAGTTGAGTTTCGAATCACTATACCTTATCAAAAAGGCCAAATATAGGGTATATGTACGGCATTCTAGAAATGCGCCGGTGAGTATTCTTGATTCGTTGGCCTCAAGTTGGTTGTACGGATGATACCTTGCTCTGATGATACTCGTCATAACGGATGAAAGCTTAGCACGTTTTCACCAGAATCGAAGGAGATTATCTTGGAAACAGCGTTAGCATGAATGTTCCAGGTAAGCTAGCTGACAGCTGGTCAAGAGGTATCCTCCGTCATCTTTCGGTGGAATCGACCTTCGAATCTCTTCAAACATTTTCACTCAAAATGGAAGTATGCTCAACAATGATGATGCCTTTG